CATATACAAAAGTAGCCAGACCAGTCTGACTCCCAACTTGAAGCTTGATATGGAGGAATTGTTGGTGATCCCACAGTATACTGCAAGACATCTCCTTTCTATGTAACACCCAAATCTTATTATTCAAATTTGAGGCAAAAAGAAAACCAGGGAATTTATTTATAATTCTCTGGGAATTTTTAGAGACCATAGGCTCCAGAATAGCCATCATCCAAAATTTATACATCCTATTTAAGGCCATCAGTCTGTTAAGGGATTTAGGATGTGCCAATCCTCTAACATTCCAACATAGAAAGTTCATCATCCAATAGATACAGATTTTCCCCTCCTTCTTGCTTTAGCCATGCCCTCTAGACCTTTTTTATTAGATTTTCTATCTCTGAGAATGTAACTTCCCCATTTTTCAAAGTTTAAACCATGGAAACCCATTTTCTTTTTCTTTGCTTTCTGGACCAGCCATTCATCCTCCAGGACTGTCTGAAACTCCTTAATTAAGGATGTGTCAATCTATTGTTCTTCCAGGGCAGCCTCAGCCTCTAAATCCTGAGTAGTACCCCCCACCATAGTGTTCCAGTCAGTGTTTAGAACTTCATTGGTTTTCTGGTTGCAGCCAGAAAGATCAGCTTCTGAAATATCATTTGCTTTGGCATTAACATCCTGCTGGTCAAGCAGGTCATCATTCACATCTTGGGCAGGGATGATACCCTGAAGTCCATCATCCTCACTGCCCTTGGTTATCTCCTGATTCAAAGGATTATCAAAATCCTTAGCCCCACATAAACAGGTAATTGATCAACCTCCTTAAAAGAGGTCCCCCCCAACCGTTCTACTAACTTTTCTAGCATTTGTTATCAGTGTGCCCAAACATGCTATAATGGAAACAGTAGTATGGCTTCTATTCAACAACAATCCTTTGCCAATAGCCATTGTGCTCAGTCCCCAACCAGATTTCCTCCATAACAGGAAGGGTGATATCTCTTTCTACTAAAATTCTGGCTACTGAAGGTCTAGAAGGGGTGTAAGTAGGGACATCCGACTTCAAAGGTTTCCCCAGAGCTTGACCATTATTGAACAGAACTTTATGATTAAAGAAATGAAGCTTCAACCCAGGAAGTTTAAACCAAATAGGAACTAGGAACTACAGGGAACTACAGGCAGCTCCTTGCTCGGGTCAAACTAAGTAGACCACTTCATGATCTTCATAGTAATACCATCAATATATTAACTCTGTTTTGAGAAAACTCTATCATAATAATCTTCTCTTGACAGTTTAATAAGGATGTGCCTGCAATCAATGAGACCCACCCTCCAAGAACCTTTGAGTTTAATTCCATCAAAGAATTTTCTTATAGCTTCCATTTTCGGATGCCTCAGCTGGAACTTGCCAGTAAGAGTAAATTTACAGACCTCAGTCAGGTTCTAGATCTCTAAATCATTATAAATGATAGCCACTTTCCCATTCTTCCTACTCAAAGGTTTTATAAACTGGTCAGCCGCCTCATGGTAGCTCTGGGGGAAAATAAGGTCATCAAAATCTTTAACAGTAGCTCCTCCTTTACCCACAACATCAGGAAAAGTGGCCTTAGCCCATTGGACATTGGTAAATAAATCCATATTGTTAAGCTCAGCCATAGCAATGCAGCCTAAATAGAACAGTAACTAGTAACCGATTCAAATAAAGTTTTACCGGTAAGCACAAAACCAGAAAACCTCACCAACAAAAACACCCAGAAGAAAGAGAAGCCACTAGAGGAAGAGAAGGAACCAGTAAGCAACCACAAAATCAGGAACTCCATGGAAACCCTAGCAGAGTACCCACAAAGTCAGCCGCCACTCCAAGCTCCATTTTTATTAACTCATTTACTACATAAAAATATGACTTATAGTAAAGAGTGAAGCTTCTAGATTTCCATAATTTGGTCTACTAAATATCATAGCATAACTTAAGAAAAATTTAAAATAGCTCAAGTTAAAACTAAAGGTATAAGAATATCTAGCAGTCAAGTCTAAGATTTCTGATACTCTATTCTTTTTAAAATTGAAAATTGTCATGTTAAAGCCACTTAGAATATCCATATGAAAAAACTTCATGAAAACCTTACTAGTAAATATGCTAATGCTTAAATACAAGTTTAGAGAATGTAGCTAAGCCTTCTTCCTTAAATTGATTCAAGTGAAGCCAATTTTTGAATCAACATCACCTCAAGCTTCTCCTCACATATTTTTCTTTTCTTTTCTCTCTCCTTTTTTTTTCTTTTGCTTTTTGCTTTTCTTTTCTTTCTTTTTCATTTTCATGTAAGGATTACTATATCCGGATAGCCTTTAATAAGTTTGAACTTTACTATCCTCTTCTTAAAGTTAAAAAAGCTTTTCACATTTCTTCACTTTATAAATTTATCTTGGCTTTGAAGATTTTCTTATAAAATTTCAATCCCTTGTTTTTACATCAAACACTAAGATTCTCAATACTTCAAAAATATAAATTCTTTTACTTAAAATAGAACAAACATAGTCTTACATAGTCTTAAATTCTCATATTAAAAACCTTAATTTCTAGAATTAACCTTTATCATTGAAATTTTTTACTTAAGCTTACTATATATTTAGAAACACAAATATAGTTATCTAAAGTTGGGCTCTACTACCACATGTCATGCTAAATTAAGTAAAATTAAAATATAGCTAATTGAGGAAAAATAAAATTAAGTTTCTTTCTTTATAAAAGAATTTTTCTTCCCCCCCAAACTTAAAGTTTTTTAAAAGATTAAGCATGAAAGACTGAAGAATAAAAGGTGAAAGAAAATAGTTATTACATAAAGAAAAGAATTACCTATTGAAGCTTCTATTTTTGAAACTTAACTCTGAAATATTGAAAGTGCTAGTATGAAAAGCTACAAAACTTAAAATATTAAATAACACATAATATATTAACAAAATATTTGTTGATAAAGAGTCAACTAAAAATAAATACAACAAAGTACTAAAAGCAAACAATAGTACTAAAATAAAATTCAATTAAAAAATAGCTCTATAGACTATAGTTCACAACACAAGATTCAATATAAATCAAAGTATCACACTCTACAAACTAAACAATAACAATAAGAAAGTGCAACAAACTATAAACTAAATAAAATATTAGAACTATGAATAGGCACACATCTTCCCTCATCCTCTTCTTCATCATCATCTTCTTCTTCTATATCAAATTTCTGCTATTGATAAGGGGTAAGAAAAGGGTGACTAGGAAACTGTACTGAGTGGTCACCCCTCATGTATCTAACCATAGCATCATCATATGCAACATCATTATCAAACTTTTGTTTTGTTAAATTATCATTATGTGCATTCCTGGCCTCCAAATTTTTAATCATATTCTCTATCCTTAAGATATCTCCTTGTTGGATCATCATTTGTTCCATAAGTCCATGGAGAGTAGGGGTACTAGAAGTAGAAGGAATATCTCTACTCTTAGTTCTCGTTCTCCATCCAACATGTGATTCATAGGTTTTAATATTTGCTATCCCAATAGGTTTAATAGGCTCAATCCTTTCCTCATAAATTCTAAAATCAACTCTTGATTGCTCACATAATGTGAAAATCAGGACAGAGTGTCCTAATCCACCAGTCGTATAACCTAAAGTAATAGAATGAATGTTCTTATAAATTATGAAGCCAACATCTAGACTGCCCATCTGTTGGATGCAGAAGTTCAGGATGACTCTATCCTTAGTAACTTCGCTATGGAGGTTTGTAGGTATCATTCTGGCAAATATAAAGTAATGTTAGGCTGTGCATACTACATTTAACATAGAAGCAAGTAAGTTTACCTTAACTTTATTCTTCACCTTCCAAGCTCCTCTTCTATCAGTAAGAAATGAAATAACTTTATCTAGAGCCTCATTCGTAGCAGAGAATACATTGTACTCACATTGAAATGCTCCTCGCAACTGATAAAGTTCATTAATCCTCCTCAGGTGAACTCAACCATTTTACCACGAACATAGACATGGTCATCTGAAGTTTCTTTAAAATTGGCATAAAACTCTGTGACTATACCAATAACAGCGTCGACAGTAAAGTAACAGAAATTCTCCCACTGCCGAGCAATAATCAATCTCTCGACTTCACCACCAAAATTTTTAAACGCTCGATCTGAAATTATTTTCTTTATATTCAGTATACTATTGAAATGAATGCTAGCTCTGAAGTTGATGAATCTTTGGTCATCATATTCCAAGTTCCCCTTTCCTTTGCTCGCCCTTGGTGCCATTGCAATCTTCAGAAGAAAAAAAATGTAAAAATCCAAATAAATTCCAAAAATTTAAAATCACAATGTGGAACGTTCTAAACTTAAACTCACTAAGTAAGAGTACTAAGTAAGAGTTCTTGTTCTTCACCAAAGGATTTTCTCAAAATCTTCTTAAGAAAAGTTTTAAAATTTTGGATCTCAGTAATGTAGGAGAAATACTTGGTGGAAATAAAAAATTATTAGTTAAAATAGTAGCTCTTATCGAGAGAAGATGAAATCTAAACTTCTTTTACTTCTGATCTCTTTAAATCAACGTGTTTGCAAGCCCTTGATGCATAAAAAATATATGCATTTTTAGACCAATAATTTATATTCATTATTGACGAGATTCCGCTTTAAAGGAAGGTATTTTTCATGTTTTATTGCAAGTTGCTGATTTTTAGGACTTGAAGCAAAAAATGAAGCAAAAAGGATGAATTTTGAGTTAAAATGGCATTTTAGAAGAAATACTCAATGCCGACGTCCCCAGACTAGACGCCGACGGCACAGACCTACATAATGGAGTCCAGAATTTCCTCAGCGCTGATGGCACTAGGAGCAG